AGTGGTGTGGCTGTTCCGGGAAGTTCTTGTCTTTTTTTCTGTCTCACACACCAGAGAGTTCATCTTCCAACATTTTTTTCCTATGATTTCTGTTAAAGTCCAAACATTTTAATTATAAAGTATTAATTTTTAATCGGTAACTATCTGTTTAGGGAAGCTCAGACCTTCTGGCAATCTTCTTGCTGATGTTATCAATGGTTTGAGAAACCGAACAAAGGCCAGCCTAGTTACACTGTTAAATTCAGTCTTCTCTTTTGCTGTTGTTGTTGGGAGGTACACTGAGGTGTCTGAAATGTGTGTGTTTGCTCTCAGTGCTCTTTGTCATCTAAAGAAGTCTCTTAGTGGAATCACAGCCTCTGTATCCTGCATGAATAATACAGAATGTAGTTTAAAGCTCTTGGCAAGTAAGTTACGCCACAGAACAAACATGCCATTAAACACAAAACACTTAAAACCCAAAGGTGTCTATTACCATCTTAAGGATGAGAGATTGAAACAGGGTAAAAGACAAAATGAGAAATGGAAAATATTAATGATAAGATTTGTTTCTCTGGCAAATGTTGCTTTGGGGAAAAAACATCTACCTTGACTCAAGCCCACTCCTGACGAGTTGTAGTGTTAGAGGTCTTCCTGCTATTGAATAACCACAACCTGCGACCTGTCCTGGCTGGCTGCGGTTCTCCCAGCTACGGCTGTTCTGTCCTTAACACTTTCCTGTCTGCTGCTGCTGTGTGCCCGACGTTCACGTCTGTAACTCTGCAGGCCCAGCAGCTTTTATCAATGACTGCAGGTCTGCTCCAGTCCAAATGAACTGGACTATCTTAAACAGTTTAAATAGCAACCAGTACTTGGAGTCCTTTAGCGTGAAAGAAATTTATGAACTATCAGCACCCTAAGGAAGACTTAGCACAGTGGTAAGTCCATGAAGTTCAGCTGGGCTTTTCACTGATCCTGTACAGTGGAGCCTGTCAGGTGTTGAGGCCTCTTTGGCCTCGATGGTGAAGCATCTTCAGATGAAAATCAGTTAATAATTCTCAAGCAGGAGCATTTTCCTCAAGTTGCAAGGGTTTGTAGCAAACATAATTAACTTGTCCTTTCAGCAAGCAGATGTTAAGGAGCACTGTCCATGTTCTGTGTGCCATTTTTACACCTCAGGCAGTTACTTAAGGATTGTTCCCTGTATAGAGTAGCTGATGTTTTAACACAGATCTTACTACAAATAGCTGGACTTGGCTGGGAACCTCCTGGCATCCTCTTTTAATGTCAGGAAAGGATCAGTTTAGTACTGGTTTTTAGTCAATACAAAAGGTTTGAGAGAATATTTTATTGGTTGTGGACTGAATTTATGTTTGCAGAAGGAACACCCTAATATTGGGTACTGATTTGCAAAATGATGGCTGTGGTTCATACCAAATTCATGACTGTATGTGACTTTCTCTGAAATAACTACTCTATTAAAGATATAAAACTTGCTGCAAGGAGTTTCTGGTTCTGTGTCCCCCATCCTTCACTTTGCATTTAGATAATACGGAAGAGGAGGCAATTGATTGAAATGCAGACATATGTGAGGCACTACATGGAAGTGCTGGGAGAATTAATCAAGGCAGATTATTCTGGGATTGAGACTGTTGGCTACAGGACTATAGAGTGAAGTTCAGGAGCCAGGTGACGAGAGCCTTGGCGGCTGCAGGAAAGGAAGGGATGTCTGCCAAAAAGAGGTATGTGAAGCAAGCAACTGACAGATCTGGAGGCTGGGGTTCAGATTACTCCTTGGGGGCCTGGCGCTGGGAATAGGAACAGACTAGGCAAGAATGGACAGGGAAACAGGAGCCAGTGGTAGAACTGACAGGTTTTAGGCTTCAGATTGAAGGGGACAGAACAACAGAATATCAAGTCTGTGAAGAAATGAAAAAAATAGTCTCATGCTGTCTATGACTGCAGTCTCTGTTCTGCAAACAACCGTGTATGAAACCCTAACCACTGTACTGTCTTGGCCTTTCATCTTCATCTGTTTCTTGGATAGCTGTCAATCCTCTGCACAGGGACTCTGAAGTTGAAGATGTCATCCAGTGCAGACTCTTCCCAAAGATGTCTGGGCACATTGCAGCGTGGAGTGTGGACAGGGAGTGGAGATCCCCAAGCTGATAAGGCTGCTGACTCCACATACCCTCCGGCAGCTCTTAGCCAGGCACACTGCTCTGTGCAGGAAGCCGTGTGTTCACAGGGGCCTCTCAGCAGGGCTTGTCCACCTGCATGCACCCAGTTCTCTGCTCTTGCAGCTGCCTGACGTCCAGGTCAGCAACTGGCTTGCATACTACGGGTAAATATCCATTAAGTACTTACTGTGATCAAATGCCTGTGAAGTGGATGTCACTATTCTACATAAATTTCCGTATGATCCAACAGCTCCTCCTCTGCTAGAATAGGTGCCAACGCAAGCACATGATGCCACTGACCTTCAGAAAGAATAATGTTCTACAGGGCAGCCAAATGTACTGGCTCTTCTGTGCACCTGTATTGCGAACTTCATTAGAGGTGGCCTGTCTTCCTCATGCACTTCCTTCCTCTCCCAGCACAGAATTAGTTATTCCTTTCTTCTCCTTCTACCCGGTTAACTGTTTATGCAAAGTGGAGAGATTAAGAGGGAGTGATACATATTACTGTTGTCATCACTTAGCAACAGAGCTAGTCTCTGGACTGTGGGATGCCCATATTAAAGGCCCTGTCCTTGTTTGTTTCATAGCTGTACTTCAAAAGAGCTTGTCTCTGACCTTGGTCAAAATAAGGAGTTCTTTGTTACAGGAAAAACACTTTCTATCTGACCTCTGGCCTCATGTTAGTAACAAAATTATATAATTCTGCATGCGAGCTAGGAACAGGTGGGTAAAAGGAGGAGAAGGTAATTGAATAATTTTCCTATGGACTACGTTAGCAAAAGGAGAAGTGTTTGAGATTCAAATACTAAATTCAGACGTGAACGAGAAGATAAGAATCCAACAAGTCTGAGGAAGGCTGCTAAGGAAAGCTGGGCACTTTTGTGCTCTCAAGCTGGTTTTGCAAAGTGCTTTGTTGCTCCTTGGAAGACTTTCATGTTACAATTTTGCTGAGGCAAGCAAGTACACTGCACCTATTGAATCTGTTCTTCTCTGATGTGTGGAGGAGGGGTTTGTATACAATGCCACTATACTGGGATGCAAGGATCTATCAATAGCACACCTGCAAGTTGTTATTGCACAGTGAAAGGCAGCCAAAATTAAACCTGCAGCAGCGATAAGCAAACGATGCCTAGATTAATCTGTGATCACAAAGCAATTCAGGAATTATTTATTAGCAATGTGAATTTATGTATAGACATAAGGAAATTCCTGTGCAAGGTGGTGGAAGTGGATTTTTTAGATGCTGCTTGCAGTTAAGTAATGTCTAAACACTGGATTAGAAAGGAGCCATGTCAGACAGACATCAGGAAAAGAACAGAAGAAATTTAATAGGATGACTTCTTACTAGGCATACCTCTGATGCTAGTACAGTGAGAAGACAGTAAAAGCACCAAAGGCAGTCACTGCTCCCGTGCTCAATGCCAGTGATTAACCTTTTGTGTTCTCCCATTCTGCTGCAGAGCTGAGGAGAAATGGTTGGTGTCAGTCACTTGGGGTTGAGCCACACACCTCGATGTACAGGCTGGTCCATCTCATCTTGTGTGGCAGTGGGACAGAGCCACACAGCGCTCCTGTCCCTCACTGCAGAGAGCAGAAACTTCAAGGCCCTTATCTTGTTTGCTTTCTGACTGGTCACACCTGTGTTTATGGAAGGCTTGCTGGTGAGGTGGGGAGCCTACAAAGCAGTTCTGCTTGTTTGGCTTTTTTAGAGAGTTCCGGATGACTTTATAAAGTCTCCAGAATTCATTACAACTTTTGTAGAATCATAAAATCTGTTTATAGCCTTTAGTTACCAAGCAACAAAGGACAAAGTACTGAACCTTTCTATTCATTAATATGTGTAACATGTTAGTGGGCTGGTTTTTTTTGTGGAGAATAAAAGGAAGCCACCAATCCCTGTAACATTTCTGAAGTTTTATTTTTGCTTTCTTAATAAAAGAGAATGAAATTATCTTCAAAACCCCTTTTTTTCCAGTTGCAGACTGGGGTCCTTCATCCTTTTGCTGTGGTTATTCAGTGAAGCCTTAATGCCACCCATGAACTGCTGTTTGCTGGGGGCTGCTCTGTCATCTTCATCTTCCCCTGCATATCCTCTTTTACTCTGCCTTTACTGTGAAACTCTCTCCCAGAGTGACTAAACCAGAAGTGTAACCCATCTGTTACACATAGAATCACAGAATGGTTTGGGTTGGAAGGGACCTTAAAGATCATCTAGTTCCAACCCCCCTACCATGGGCAGGGACACCCTCCATTAGTCCAGGTTGCTCAAAGCCTCATCCAGCCTGGCCTTGAACACCTCCAGGGATGGGGCATCCACAGCTTCTCTGGGCAACCTGTTCCAGTGTCTCACCACCCTCACAGTAAAGGATTTCTTCCTAATGTCTAATCTAAATCTACCCTCATTCAGCTTAAATCCATTACCCCTCATCCTATCACTCCACTCCCTGATAAAGAGTGCCTCTCCATCTCTCCTGTAGGCCCCCTTCAGGTACTGGTAGGCTGCTATTAAGTCTCCTCGGAGCCTTCTTTTCTCCAGGCTGAACAGCCCCAACTCTCTTAGACTGTCCTCATTGGGGAGGTGCTCCAGCCCTCTGATCATCCTTGTGGCCCTTTTCTGGGTTCATTCCGACAGGTTCATGTCCTTCTTATTTTGAGGGCCCCAGAGCTGAATGCAGAACTCCAGGTGGGGTCTCACGAGAGCAGATTAGAGGGATGTGATAGGACAGATTTCATTTTACTTTGTGTAGAAGGGTAGGCAGCATTACTTACTCTGAAATACTGATGATTGATTCCCTCCAAATTCCACTCTTGTAATTCTGTCTTTTTGACATTTTTAATTTTTAGGGCAAGATGTCCGTGGAGCCTTGGAGAATCCCATGGTGGATACAAGTATGTTGGAAGAATTCATCAGTAATGATGTAGAGTTTGGAACTTTGTAAGTATTACAGCAATATCTTTTAAATTCTCTTTTCATTAGTGCTGTGATAAAAACTGAATGCAAAAGTCAGACCTGAAATCTAAGTTTCAAGAGGATTGTGGCTCTCTTGATATTGTTATTTGAAGTTGTATAAGAAGACTTGGAAAAATGAATTACAGACAGTAATGGAAATATAGTCATTTTGCTCAACAGAATGAGCAATAATGAAGTGTGGGATAATTCACAACTGTTATGCTAATTGTGGCATTACATGCAAAGCTGTTATTTTAATATTCCTATAAATGCTAAAATAAGTGATATAAGTGAGACTAATGTATAATAAATTGAGTGTGTAGAAGGAAATTTTTAGACTTCTGTAGATGTGTCTTTTTAAATTTTTGTAAGGCACATTTGGAATTCAGGAGCTATGGGTTAAGTATCCCACAGAAAAAAAATAATTAAAATGTTTACTAATTCTCTTCTGTATTCAAAGTTGAAAACAATATTTAGAGCAGTAGACACAGTATTTAAAAGCATCAGAAAATTTGTTTTGAAGGAAGTTGAAGGTTATTCTAATGTGGATTTTTAAAATTTTTTTTTAAATAGTAATTATGTAGTTGAAGCTAACCTAGAATGCAGGGTTGTGGATGTGGTGCATTAGAAAACCAGGAGTGATACCATTATGAAGTACACGAGAACATGTCAAAACTAATAGGCTGTGACCAAAACGAAAACTGTTCTCTCTCATACTATCCAAACTCAGAAATACAAAATCTGAATTAGAAATGGATGAAAATCAGATAATGGAAATTTTCCATTAATGCTTGAAAATATTTGCTGTGTATGTGGGAACATGTTTTCTGAATATGAGGGTGTCCCTTTTAGCAATTTTATTGTACTCAACTTCTGTCAGAAGACTGGGCCTTAGTAAAAGAGGTGTGGCTCACTAATTTCTGTCATCCTTTATCTGCTCAAGCATTTTAGCCTAACATGTATCTTAAGTACTTGTCTTTCAGGTAGTGCTTCAGAACAGTAGTTCAGCCTACAGTTTATAGGATTACCTGAAAGGGTCCATTTCTCAAACCTCTGTCTGCTCTTAATGTAATAGAGAAACCCTCTGTAGTTCCTTTAAATGGCAGCAAGATGACAAAGGATTTTCTCTCCCTTAAGCTGCTTTGAAAGCACCATCATGAAGGGCTGAAAAGCTTGAGATAAAGTAGGAGATGTGACAGACCTGTGGCCTCTGACTGGTGACAGAAGCATAGCCTCTCTGTAGCAGTCTGCTAGTGACTTAGGATGCTCCTATTTTCAATGCAGAAGGAATGAAGTAGTTTTGCTACATAGTGTGGGAACATCTGCTTGTTGCTGTGAGCTACTCATGAAGGACTGGACATAGTTTAAACCATGGTGTAGTTCTGGGTCTTGCCCTGAGAGCGTAATCCTTTACACACTGTCTGATAGGAGAAACACTATAAGTGTAAAAGTATGACAGGGAGATATAATACAATATAATCAAGTGTATGTACCAAAGAATAAATAATCAAGGACCTTCTTTCAAACCTCAAGCATGTGAATGGGCTGAGCTGCTGGAGGCAAGTTGAGAGCAAAGCTCCTAGTGTCAGCTGCAGACAAGGAAGCATTCACTTCCTGACTGAAAATCAGGAGAAAGCTGGACAGTAACATACAGACTGGCCTGTTCTTGTACAGAGCAGTGTCCTTTAAGTTATTTAGAAAGGAATCAGGAGAGGTGGTGTTTTCAGAGATCTACATCTTTCAGTAACAAAAAACAGTGGGCACTAAAAGTCCCAGAGCACATTGACGTTGTTTGGCCTTCCATGATGACCTCTCCTAGCAGAGAGGTGTTAAACCATAAATCTCTCCTGCTTGGCTATGGGGTTTAGCAAGGAGGTGGCTGTGGATCACATGGAATTTCTTGGTTCCTAGCCAGGATTTCCCTGTCAGGCCTCCAGTCTCTGGCTCTCCTAATGACTGTCTGAGCTAACTACCTTCCCATCTTGTCACAGTCTGCATGCCTCTGCGCCTGCTCCCTGCAATGCTCCTACAAGAGGACTGAAGGTGCTGTGCCATGCTGGGACCTTGCCTCACCAGGCTGCCAAGGGTGTTCCTCCTGTGCCGTGCTGATTGTCAATAGCCATCATCCTTGCTTATGTACCTCTGCACAGAGGAAAGTGGCCCAGCTCTGCCTGAGTTTGGCACGGTGCAGTGTTACTCAGCAGGCATTTTCATGGCAGGTGATGCAGAAGCTGCTGGACGGTGGTTCCACATGGGGTGTGGCATGGGTCTGCACTTTGGGAGCACCCTTTGGTGTGGGCAAGAGAGCCTAGACTAAAAAAAATTTTTACTTTAATTTGTTACCAGTTAGCACTAACTTTTGATCACTGGCTTGTGCATAGAGAAAAAGAGAATATAAACAATTAAACACTTAGGGAGACATCCTTCCTTCCCCCTGTCTTTCTGAGGCTCAATTAAAAGTGAGTGCTTCTGCCTCTGGTGGGCTCGGGGTTGCTGGCAGTAGGGCAGAGCCAGCGGGGACCAGCGGTGGGCAGATCATGGCTGCAGTACAGCCACAGTGTGGAGCGTGGCCCCTGCTGCCCAGAGCCTGCCTGGTGCACCTTTGCAATTTATTCTTAAGTCAGGTTTCATCAATGCATCAAGATTCTTCCCAGTGATAAACTCAGGTGCTATAAATTATCCATCAGCAATGGTGTTTGGGTTAAAACACGGCTAAATGGTTTGTCTTCTGTCAGGAATTAGGGTGGTTTGTTTTGTTTTTGAAGCTTTTCTTTGAGGGAGCTGTTGGGATGGTCCTGTTTAGTACTCTTTATTTTCAATTATTTTGTAATTTAGGCATAGAATATATTAATTATTAGTCCCCCACTATGTTCTTCCAAATGGAACTGGAAGACTGTGTGGGACTCAAAGGACGGAAGGCAGCTTGTCACCCATTCAAAACCCCACATTAAGCTTCTGGATCTTTTTGATGAGCTCTTGTTTCAAACTGAGCAAATGCACTTCCCACATGTGCGGCAGCTCCTGCTTCCCTCTGCACTTGGGGTGCCTCTGGTGGAGAGCAAGGTGCTGAAATGGGACCTGCTAACATCTAAGAGGGACTGAGGGTGCTTTGGCCAAACTAGGCTCTTAAGAAATCAGCTAGTGGGTGAAGATGCTACAGATCTTTAGCCCGTAGTCTAGAGAGAATGGGTTTGAAGCCCTTGTGAGCTCTGTGTATTCAGAGTTGCTGGTGTGCCCAGAGGTAACTGAAGAACGGCTCGTGGGAAGGAAGGAGGATTGAAGTCAAAGGGTTGTGGAGGGGAGTTTGGGCAACAGCTGTTACGGATGAGGCCTCCCTGCATGGGGGACAAGTGGAGGGCCATAGGAGATGGTCTGATGAAGTTTAAGTGACATTGCTCCTGTGAGAAGGGGCAGCAACCATGGTGAGCAGTGCTTCTTGAAGACCCTTGTCACTAACCTGGTGGTCTGCCTCCATCTGCTTTCAGCATTGCCTTGTGGTTGTCCTCGATGTCTCCTCTTAGTAGGAATTAATATATTTTTTTTTCATCCCTAGGCAAAGCCAGTTGCCAGACTCCCCACCGGACTCTGGATCGGAACCGTGTTCTCCGCCACATCTCCAGAGTAGGTCACGTGAATTTGGTTTCTCCCAAGCTCGTAGGAAGGTCTCTGGCTCCTCTTCCTTCTCATTACTTTCTTGTCTGTTTACTTCTTGCAGCCCCATGGTATGACACTGCATGGCCCAGTGGGCTGCAGCCTCCGCTCCCATGCCCATCTGCTGTGGCACCCAGCAAGCTTCCCTGCAGGTTCATGGAGACTTACTCTGACCCCAGTGCCAGTGGGCATCCTTGCACCATCCCCCAAGGCTGCTGTCTGAAGACAGGAAATGCTGTGACTCCTTGGAATGATTCTACATCCTCGAGCTGTTTGGATTTTAATTATTCATACTTTCAGCCAAATGCATCTCAGATTTCTGGGTAAATGATACAGCTTTTATGCAAAGGAGGAGATAGATGCAAAAAAAAGTAGAGCTGGTAGAAGATGTGGTTTAAGACTGGTGTAAAATCCTTGTGGATGTAGGGTTTTCCACAGGATGGCAGTGTTCAGACATTTTTGAGACACTTGTGGTTTAGGGTTCTTTAAACATCTTTATTTATGCTCAGATTGGAAAAAGGAGTGAATTTCAATTTTTAAAATGTTAGAAGGCTAAAGAAAGATCAGCAGGTGTTTCATAAGTGGGTTATAAAAATATTCAGGCGTTTTGCAATACCTATTGCAGGGATTGTGCAAGGATCTTGTAAGTGTTCTGGCAGGTGGTATGAAAGAAAAAAAATTGTCATATCTATGTAAACAAGTGAAATGGTATTCATATACCATCTGCCATATTCACCCACCAACATGTTGTGGATGCTTAGTTATTTAAAATACATGGGCTAGTCCAAGCATCCAACCATGATACCTAGAAAGAATGAATTGACTGATGCATGCCAGAGGGGAACCTCTCTGGTTCTTGGGAAATAAATGTGAATTAATCAGTGTTAGTCCTGGGTTTGCAGATGCTCTGTCTCTGTCTCCTCTTCTGTACAAAGCTCAATTAGATGTGGGTGAAGGAGGCTGGGCCTGGGTTTCTCAGTGGAGCTATTTGTTTTCTTTGTTGGTTTGTTTTCCAGTAGAAGGAGCCAGTTAGTTGAAATCATATTATTTTTTTTTCTTTTTTGGGGGGTGGAGGGGGAAAGGGGTGCTTTGGTTATTGAAACTTAAAATACAAAATACTTCTTCACCAAATGTGGAACTTTTGAACAAACCCAGAAAAAAAAAAAACCCCAAACAATTAATGTGGTGCACAGGTTTTTCTTCTACTCATGTTTGCACCTTAGTTTGAGTACCTACAGGGCCTGATTGAGACCTAGAGTTTGTCTTGTTTTTTCCCCCATCCAGAAGGAGTGACCATCTGTTAGAATATTCTAGTTTACATTTTATAATATCAAAACTTTGGAATAAGTTTTTTGCCCTTTACATAAAGGAGCATTTTTTTGAAATCTCATTTTGTGGGAAAGGGGAAAATTGTTACCCAGCAATTGCCCCTTGAGATCTCTTCATTAATGCATTAGGTTAACTGCACCTAGTGTTTTCTGTGTAAGAAAGTGAGTTCACGCTTGGTGCAGCACAGTTATTCAAGATAAAGTTGTGATTTTAATGCAAATGTCAGGAAACAGTAAAACCCTGCTGCTTATGCACTATGTAAATTTTTAAAAAGAGATCCACTTCTCTATTCATATGAAATAAAAAATAAACTAATCTATGTTTTGGAAGGAAAAATTGCATTATTCAGTTTTAAAAAGCCAACAGCAGTCTCCACCCCCTGGCAAATCAGAATTTGGGTGACAATACAGTTAGAATGAGATACCTGGGTGTTCTCTTGTTATGATTCTGTAATATCTGTATTCAAACTTATAAATGAGTAATGCAATATGTGTTTTTAAAAAAGTACTTCTGCAGTGGCAGGCAAAAAAAGGAAGCTCTCACAACTACTGGGAGATGTCCCTGAGTCTCCAGTCCAGTCTCAGAACTCCAGACAAGGTAAGCAACTGTGTGAAAATGAAATTTAATGTTTTATACCATAGACAAGTAAATATTTTAAGAGCACAGCTCCTGCTGTCTCTGAAAAGGTAGTGGTATTAAGAGTCTGTACTCTACTATCACGTTTGGAGGAATTTACCTTTTCAGTGTTTTTGAAAACCACAAAGTATTTATATTTGGCAAAGAGAGAAGTGTTAGAGGTTGATGTTTCCTGAGGACTCTCTGGACAAAATCTTCTGCCCTTCTCCACGTGTGAACCTGCAGTGCACAGATGATACCATGCTCTGCTGACTTGGCTTGGTACCAAATTGACTGGGCAAAGAAACCATCTTGGGTCAGCTTAACTGGGAGTTAATGTGGTGGATAAGCAAACAGATTGCAGTTTCCCTTTATCATCTAAACTCCGTGTTTTTGGTACAAAGCAAGCATGTGCAAGCTTGGTAAAAGCAGTGTGTTCTTCCACACCCCTTCCCCAAATTGATTTGGCTTATTGTTTCATCAAGGAAAAAATGCTAAGCTTATACCAATTGATACAGAAAAGCTTATTAGGCATGTACAGAAATGGATGAGCTTCTGTGAAGTGTGAGGCTCTCTGCAAATGAACAGTTTGTAACGAACTGTTTAGCTGAGGAATTTCACCCTTGTCTTTTAGTGGAAAATTGAGAGCTGCTTGTTATTTCTTCAGAGTAAGTTATTTTTCAGCATTAAATCAACCTTTTAGAACACTTTTAATGAGTAGGAACTGGATTTAGTATGTTACTTTTCCTTTGGTATCTTGCTTGTTTGTGACTAGGCCTCTGAGCCTGCTACTGCTGGAAATTGTTTTGCTTAATTGCTTCTTGTGGTGTTGCAGACTTAGAGTAGAATGCTTACCTTTCCCCCCCCCTGCCCTGCCCTCCTCGAGGAAACTATCCTTTCAGAGAGAATAAAATTAGGAAGTGCTACTTGTGTAGCATTTTTCAAATCAGGAAAGCTGAAAAATTTATTTGCTAGGGCAAACATAACAGTCTTTTGGAATAACTGCAAAGGACAATCCGATTTAAACATATATGCAATATATTTGTGCTTTATATGTATGTATATATACGTAAATGTATTTATTGAAAATGTTTTTGCAGGATTTTTGTCTTGTCACAAAAGTAATAACTGAATTGTCGCTATCTCCTTACAGGAACTGTTAAGGACTGTGCTGCTGAAGTGCAAGAGTATGACAACGATGGGCAGAATGCAGCTTTGGAAAAATGCTGTCAAGCTCTAACATGGCAACCATATCAAACTTCTCAGTGGAACAGCTTATTTAACTCTAATTATGAAAAACTGTAAGCACAGATGTTTGCACTTGTAAAAAGTGGTTCCTTGGTGGTTTTTTTTTTTCTTTTTTTTTTTTTTTTTCTGGTATTGTAGTTTTGTAGGAACAAATTATATATTTGGAATTTCTTGTTCTTACTAAAAATAAGACTGGAGAAGGAGGTATAGTAGGCATGATGGAATTTGAACGTACAGGTGTATCAGAAAAGTAGAACTTCAAGCACTGGTTGAAATTCTTGACAGGTTTTCTGACTTCCCTTCAGCAATCTAGGGGCAAAAAAAAAACCCATTTAAGATACTTGTTAGTTTTTGTTTATTTTGTCAAGCACGCTGGGGCAAGTAATTACTGAGCATATCGCACCTTTCCCTCTAATGGCCTAAAACATTAAAGAAAAATGGAAATAGAAGATAGCTGTATTACTTCTGTGCTCATATAACCCAAATCTTAATAACTATAGACATATATGTATGATGTGTAACTGTTTAGTCAAAGATATAGAGTTTTCCTGTATAAATCAGAACTGTAAATTGGTTTTTTTGGCCACATGATCTGGGAAAGGTCATTCCAAGTTCTCTCTACATCCCTAGTTTTCTCCATTCTAGTATTTAGTGAATGATCCCTTTTAACATAAACCCTTCTACAGCATCTGGTCAGTTCTCCAGGTTTGGTGCAAACAATTTGTCACTGTCTCCATGGGACTTAAATAACATAGTAAATTTTAATGTTCCTCTAGCCCAACCTGCTAAAAGCTCTCATGGGAGTTTGGAGTGTATTGCTGGACACTGACATTCCCTGTTTGTGCACAGCGTGGTAGGGGCAGTACACATCTTACTGTGTCCTGTACGACCCTTCTCCTAAGATACTGACATGACAAGAGAACAGACAGCTCAGTGTCCACACCTTGCTACTTCTTGGGAGCTGGATGGGCCAAGAAACCTCCAGCTGTGTTTGTGGTGTGAATTGTCACTCTAAATGGAAGTAAGTGGCTTTCAACTCCTGTTACACTTTCAGACAATGACTACATTCGAGCTATAAGCTGATGGGGGGAGATTGCTCTCCTGCCGCTACCCAGTTACTTGTTGGTTCCCATACACCTGAAATTGAAGTTCCAGACTCGCATTTCTTGGCGGCTTGTGTCAACAAAGACAATGCGATGCTGAGCATTAAAGCATCCAAATACACACACTGTTACCATTACTGTGGAAGGAGATTGAGATAATATTTGCAGAGGAAGTAAGTGTTAATTTTAAGCGAGGTCAACAGCAGTGCCTTTGTTCCAAGGTGCACTGTAATTATGGCATAGTGCACAGATTTTTTGAGTTGTGATCCTGCATTCTGTTAGCCTCAAGAGTCATATGCTTATCACTGCTCGGTGTAGATGGATTGATTCTGTACCTCGAAATTGCTGTGCCCACTTTAAGGACATTTCTCAGGTTAATTATAATTTTCCATTTTATTCATCCAGTGTTTTAACCTTTTGATTATTTCATTTTCACAATAAAATGCTGTTAGCTGAGGTAGATTAATTAGAAAAGGTTACTCTACCATTAACTGTGCCCTGCATTGTGTCTGCTTGGCACTTTCTTAGCCCCTTGCCCCATTAATATTGTGATTGGTGGGACTCGGTTCCAAAGATGCTGTCTGAAGACTCAAATTCTGAATAGAAAGAGGAATTTGAAGTGTATTTCTAGTAGGGATGCTTGTATGACAGGGATATATATCCTGTGCTACCTAAAAGTTCTTCCAAGTTTACTGTACTGCTTGGTAAGACTGACCATTCTTTGTGCAATCAGATCAAAATCTGTATTTGGTGTTAATTACTATTAAATGGCCTACTCAGAAAATGTTAAACATTAAATTCCTCTTTGGGAGTCTTTGTTCCAAACACTTCAGCTTGGAGAAATGGAAATTTGTACTTTTGCTTCTCAATCTGCTTGCCTGTATATAAGCAAATGCTCTGAAATTGTTTTAAGAATGAACTTGCTTTACACCTAAATCTGAAAAAT